AGGAAAAAGCTAACTGCGCAGCTAATTTTGACAATTAAAACTTGTGGAATTCCTATTAATGAGAGTGTCTAATTTAAGTCATTGCCAGAAAGACTATATTTGAGACCACAAAGCTATTTCTGATCATAATTAAAGTACTTGACTACTTAAGACTATGTCCATAATTTTTAGCATGTGTCATTTTGTAATGCAAAAAGTCTGATACAATTGATAAAATTTTGGCTGACAATCAAAAAAGCTCAAAAAGTTTGAATGAGTAGTAACTATATAATGATCAATCAAAACAAACTGTAGTTTAATTAATATGGAAATTATAAGACTAATAAAAATTGAACACTGGAGCAAATCTAGTCTACATTTTTGGACTCGCGTAGGCGGGTACTAAGCAGTTGGGTTGTCATTCTGTCATTCTGTCCACACAGTTTAATTGATTTGTAAAAAAAATATCTTTTTGTTTGAGCAGTCTAGAGCTCTATTTCTTCTTCTAGCAACAGATAAAGTTGCTTTCTTTCATCTAGTAATGCTCTTGTAGCATCCCGTGGCACCAAAAGCTGTGAACTGCTAAACCAGGGGACCTCTCTCCATGTGAGAGCTCGTGTTTCACTCTACAGGGCCGAGATTTGCTTCAGAGGTAGAAAATCCCATCTAACGAAAAACAAAAAAGAAAGATTTTGTCCTAACTTCGTTGTTTGTGAGTTACAGTTGCTCAAAGTTTGTGATTTAGCCTCTTCGAGAATTTTTCAGGCGGCACTGGGGAAAGCAGGAGCAACCAAGCTCTCTCAGTCTCTTTTAAATATCTAGAAAAATTTTCTGTGCCAACTCTTTCTTGGAATAGAGCTTCAGATGCTAAAATAAATTTCAGTTTTTCTTCTTTCTCCTACCCATGTGACATGATTTAGTTAGTTGTTGACCACACCCATAGCATATTTTAATTATCATTATAACTATGCAGTCCATAATAATAATTTTTTTAAATTGCTTAAAATATCACAGTACAAGTAATACATATCACTCAAGTGAATTCCAGCAGGCGAGTCCATTGCACCATAGTGCTTCATTTCTAAATTACTTGATCTGCAGTAGTATACTATATACAATAAATTTCAGACTTTGCATGACGAATCCAATGCTTATCTATTATGCATTTGCATCTATTCTGATAAATCCATGTGCCTCTACTCAATTGTAATAGTACTTCTCTACTTTTATGTCTTACTTGATTTAAAAATAATAGCCATAAAATTTTATCAGCAAAAAAGTAAAGTTGACTATAATTCAAGAAAATGCATTACAACCCTACCAATTGTTGCCAACATTTAACTGCCTAATGAAACTGTCAAAAAAATTAAATTTCAATTATTACTTGAATTTGTGTACCACATCATAAGGATCATAATATTGATGTGCATGCATCAAAAGTTTTTGAACAGTTTCTCACATTCTTACCATTGCATCTTACTCCAGCATCTTCAGCATGATTACAGTTGTGATTGGTAGAGTGAGTACAGCTTGTAAGAGTGGATTCAGTTCCAGTACAATGTACATTATCCATGACAATACTACCTGTTCCTTGTCCAAAGTAAGCACTACCAACAGCAGTTCCTGAAACAAAAGAGGTATATCAAGAAATTAAATAAAAGTAATAGTAACCTGTGTGTTGAAGTAACTACTTTAATTGGTAAAAATTATGTGAAAAACTATGCAGTTACATAATTATTAAAATTATTACAGCAAATGTCGTTTAGGATTGGCTATGCCATATTTTTGAGGGGGGTGCTGTAATTATTAAAGTTTCATTGCTTACAGGTTACATTGATATGTAGTTATACGCCTCTCTAAACAAGAGTCTCTTAAACATTTCATAAAATTGTTGCTACCTACACAATGCACCACCTATCGAGAGGTGCGTTAATTGGGTCATACCGTATAGCGCTTTATTTTGGCGGCACTTTATTTTGGTGACTTTGCTGTAAAATTGTAATTGGCGGTTTTCAATTTGGCGATTTTTTGCATACACGTGCGTTACTGAGCATGTGCATTAATAATTGGTGGTTTTAATATTGGCGATTCTGCTTGCAAACCGCCAATTGCCAAAATAAAACTCTGCCAAATTAAAGCACTATACGGTAATAGTCTATGAAGTTGTACAATATTTCAGAATTTAAGAACTTGTACTAGCATCTAAAACATAAGCCATTATGAATGTCACACAAGATGATTCATTGGCAAGGAATTACTGGTAATGGACAGTTCTGTGAAGAAATTGCCAGTGTAAAAGTCTTGTGTTTTTGTTTTAGTCTGAGCATGCATACTCAATAACTGGTGACAAAATTGCTAAAATTTGCCAAATTATTTATTACAAAATGAATTCATCAATATAATCATTGGAGTTGGAACAGGGTGCAACTGCATTCCCAATAATTGGAAAGAGGGAGTAATTGGTCAACAGTCTGAATGTTACTATTACAATTGAGGTGATATTTAGCTCATACTGTGAATAACTACCATGCACTTTCAGAGTATTTTAATTATGCATGCATAACAACTAAAGAACAAGTACACTTGCATGCAATGATGCATCTGTTTAAGGACTGAAACTTAGTCACAATAACAAACTGCCATGCTAGTAAATGATTATAAAGATATCTCCTAAGGGCGATGCACATACTTATAGTTTTGTGCATGAATATAGTGTACCATCAATGAAAGTCTCATGAGAACCTGTAACTTAAATAAAACATTGATTGTTATAGTAAGTGGAAACCTGAGTAATGGATAACATCTTTTGTATAAACAAGTTTCTAGTTACATCTAGTGTTCAACTTTCTTCTTAATAACTAACTGGCTATAGATATATTGCCAATGACAAGCTAGAGTAAATTTCCACACAACTATAGATCTAGTCATAAACAGCTCAATTATTTAATAGTAGTACACATGCATGTTCTTATAACAGTACTATAGTGGTTTTTTTATTTTGAGACTACCCTATTACCTGTTAGTACAAAATATTTATTAATTTTAGAAGATTTTAGTAACTGGTAAGCAAAATGGCAAGTTTACCAATGTCTGTGACAAATTGTGGCAAATTCACTAACAATCTGAATTTGTTCACAAAAACACTAATAGATATATTATGCCGGAATATAATCACAATTTAACAGGGTTTTGAAGATAATCATTGGCTTTGCCTTAATAAAACTTGTTCATCATTCATGACATTAATTTAAAATCATAAAAAATTTGAGATTGAACAGTATTGAAATTGCACAAAAAAATTAGAAACATGACCAATTTCAGCTCTGATACCGTATAGCTAAGAGAAAATTTGGTAAATTTGGTGCTTTGATAGTAAAATAAAATCCACCATTATGAACCATTGAGCGGCACATCATATGCATGGTCA